ATAAAATTAAAATTCAGCATACGTAATTTTTGTTTCGCTTGGTTCGGAGAAGTGGCCGAGTCTGATTAAGAAGAAAGCAGTCTTCTGGGATTTGGCACCGTGCATATGTGGTGTTAACCGACGTTTCGGAGGAACGTATCGCCTCCATCTTCAAGGTAGAAGGAAAAATATCAGAAATCCGTTCTCACGGTCTCTTCGCTTGCGGATTTATTACATTTTTCCTTCTACCTTGAAGATGGACGCGATACGTTCCTCAGAAACGTCGGTTAACACCACATATACACGGTGCCAAATCCCAGAAGACTGCTTTCTTCATAGTCACCGCCGTGAAAGCCTAAAATCTTACAGAGTCTGATTAAGTTCGGTAGATTCTCCTTCCGCATATTAATTTTTTGTTTGCATATGTAGTAGACTCGGGACCAGAAGAAGTATTAAAATGCACGGAGAATGTTGCTGGTATAACACGGTATTTCCTGGAATCCATACATTCCGTCTGTCTTTGAAGTTCCTTGCGGCCTACCGATCTAGTTACTGCAGGAAATAGGGAGACGTGATGAATTGTACCCCAGTGTTTGGGCACCAGAACATGACGTTAAGGGCCATAAAATATTAAGTCATGAAAATATATTTCATTACTAATCATATCTCTTTCTTCAAGGAATGGATTACGTTGTGTTACCAATTTAAACTTCTTCGTTTGGTTTTCGTGTAAACACAACGATTATAAAATCTTACTCGCAACTTACTCTGTATAATGAGTTTATTTGTCTTAATAATATGATAATGCGTTACATGTTTCGGCTTATAAAGCCATCTTCAGGCAGTACACATTAAGCAACTTATTTATTGAAACCGTCACAACACAACAAATATCAAGATCAGTGCCTAGTTTTGGCTCTGCTACCTGTTTCGGCTAACAAAAGTTATATTATAAAACAAGAATAAAATTCTTCGATTGATGTTTTACAAAAAAAGTACACATTAAGGTTTATTTTTAAACTATTGAATTGCTCTTTATATATGAATTCATAGTTGTATAATAAAATATAATAACTATTACTATATGAACTTGTTTTTCTATTTGGATAATATTTTCAATCTAGTGTATGAATTAGTATAAGTCGTATATAAAAATATATTAAAACTGGAATGAATGTCTTACAATTAAATATATGCTTCGAGATGTACATATATACACACACAATAAAACTTTTAGAGGCCATAAAATGTATTGCGTTGTTATATTGTATTAAAATGTTTAGACAATGAATTAAACATTTGTTCGTTATATTCATGGCACATTTCGTATCTAAATATCGTCATACATGTATATGTGTCTATTAGCTTAATTGTAGCTTTATAATATACAATTTTCTTCAGGTGTTGTTGATGTTTGATCGTGGTCAGGCGTTTTTCATTCCCACTCCCAACTGATTTTCCTTGAGGGGTTGGTGCACTGTTCGGAACCAGTTGTTATATGGTCTATAACGTTTCGTTCTATGTTTTTTCCACGAACTGCTTTTCCTTTATTTTATGGGTTTATCCACCTCCTGCGTTTCCGCGACTGGTTGCATTGTGTGACGAATTCCAACAGTTGGAAGGTGTGAGCAGTGTGCCACTCACACTGATACGTGCAGTTTGCACACGATATATTTTTTGTTAGTCAACATGGCTGCGTAGCTCAGTACAAACTTTGAGTTTATATCCGACTCATATAAAGTAAAGCGAATTAGTACCGAATTATTTATTTATGGGGAGCCGGGACAGCGCAGTCGGGATAGCGAATGGCTACGGAATGGTCGGCCGAGGGGTCGGAGTTCGAGCCCCGGTAGTGTCAAGAATTTTCTCTTCTCCGCTTCGTCCACAACGACCCTGGGCCCCACCCAACCTCCTATCCAATGGGTACCGGGGGCTTATTCCTCGGGAGTAAAGCGGCCGGAGAGTGAAGCTGACCACTCACCTCCAAGTAGTGCGAAGATCAAGAAAATCTGGATCTATACATCCACTCCCCCATACGCCTTCACGCCGTAGTGCTTAATTAGTTAAGCACAGGGATTTCACATTTTTTTTTAACTTTTATCTATTCTTCATAAAGAAATTATGAAATAAAATATCAGTAGTAGTAGTGCTGAAAAATATTTATCACTAGAAATCTATGTATCAGGAACACAGGTTTCCCGATTTCTGATTGGAATTGTGTATTAACGCTTTTCAAGGGGACCTAGTAGAGGAAAATGCTGAGCGGTCCGCAATCTCTTCTTGAGGTGTTTAATCTCGTACTGCCCGTACCATACTCATTACATTGTCATTTGGGACTTATTTCACTTCGCATAAGTCTATAATACCGTGCTGTCTGTATATATGTGTGTTTCGTGAGATAGTTTTATTCCACTTTCATGCAGAAGAGCTGTGCATATGATTCAGTTGAATTACATTCTTGTTTTCTGAAAGTAACGAACACTTCACGACACAAGTTCGGCACTTCGTCCTCTTCGTTAAGGACCTTCGTCTCCTCTTGTCTCGCAGACAGTCGAACGTCTAGAATGTGGGATAAAACGTCCATCCCACAGAGCTATATAGCTTCTGAAACACATTCGGAAGGTAGGCAGTTTGATCCTCAACCGGGGACTGCTTAATCTACCATTCCCACGTATATTTTTCCGATACATAATTCGCAAAAATTTGACGATATGTAGCTTCAATAGTTTACACATTTGTAAAATAACCAAAGTACTAGTTAAACAAGAAAAGTATATGACTGAGATGCGGTGTGAACATAATAATTATGAAGTTTATTTGGCTCAAGACGGTGCGGACACTAAAGTCGACGCATCCTTCTATGCAGATTAAAACGAAAGGTTTCCGCGGCCTGTCTGAGAGTCTGTGAATTCCTCATGCTGAAACCCAAAGAGACTTATATCTACGAGGGCATGGACAGCTGATACAAAGTTTGTTCAGTTACATCATGTTCTTGACGTCTCTATTAGTCTGAAATCCCAAACCGACGGCTTGAAATTTAAAATCAGACTTCAAATCAACAGTGAATTTAAATTTTAAGCCGCACTTCAGGTTCCTTATCCCTGTAACAAGCCGTGGAGGCCCATAGAGATATGAGAGGTTGAGGTTCCCGCATCTTCTAGAAAATCGGCTCACAGATGGCGGTAAGGTTGTCAGCCTTACGCGCCACCCATCCTTTACCCCCCCAGGAAGATTCCTGGTATAACTGCTATATTCCTGGTACTCATATCTGTTAAAGGCTGAGTCGACCCCAGGGATATATTGCTGCTGGAAGGATTAGATCAATTGAAAAAAATATCACCTCATCGAGACTCGGAACACACGATCTTCCGGCTTGTAGCATAATGTCTCAACCAACTACGCTACCGCGTACCCCACGTTACAGTTTTACTGCTCAAAACTCCTATTGTCCAGCATCATGAAAATACACTTAAATTGAAATATCACAGAAAGAAAAATGAATTACATGAGGCCATATAATATATCCAGATTCATAAATTGTTGTGTTTCTGAACATTATCCATCGTCCAATTTCTATTTAAAATAGATAACTTTTCGGAGACTGGATTTTTTTCTCCGTCTTCAGGCAGGACCTACTTAGTTGGGACCAATCGATAGAGCTAATCCCAGTCTCAGAAGAAAATTAAGATATGATCTGATGCTACATGAAGACCCACAAGAATTCGTTTACTTCATAATGAAGCCATCGAGAAGCAACCGTTCCTCTTCAGATACAATATACCAGGGCACTGTCATAATCCCATATGTCAGGGGTATCTCCGAGAAATTCAGATGCATTGGAAACCGTTGCAGTGTCAGGTCCATTTTCAAAACGAAGCATACACTCCTTGGAACACTGATTAAAACTGGACCGGTTAGACATACCCAACAGATGAAGCAGTGTGTGTATAATATTCCATGACATTGCAGCAGATCTTACGAAACAAACAGACCTTTAGAAGCACAAATATAACCTGACCCAAGGTCTGCTTGAAAAATCAAAATTAGCCCTTCACGTGTAGGAAGAAGACCACGTAGTATTTTGGAAAGCGAGGTCCTGCAGATTGAACCAATCACCTCCTACAGGAAATATAAGGAGTCCGCACACATGTCTCTTTTAGACCAACCGATCAGCCAATCCAGCTCGAACATATCTCCCATCTGGGCTCCCAATATCGCAGCAGAAGTCAGAAAACTGCAACTCTGTCCAGTGTAGATTTATGTAGGTACCATACAGAGAATTTGTCTCTTTAGTGATGACTTCTGTTCTGATAGCGCTCTCATTTTAACAGCAGTAGCCGTGAAGTAGGGGATGGGCAGGGGTGCTAGCCTCATGTGTGGTTTCGTTTAGGGTTTCTACTGTTTGTCGTAACTCTTGCAGATGGTTCTTGCTCTGCTTGGTTTATAAATCCTATCTTGTGTGTTGGTGCTGATGTCCGGAGTTTAGGACTAGCTCTATCGATTGAATAGGTTCAATCTGAAGTGTTTTACATAAAAAAGGGCGATTGATAGTGTCCAGAAACAATAATTGTACTAATTTACCATCATCAGATACTTTAGATCTCATATGCAAAATCGCTTGAATGTCAAGCGATGTTCCTTAAAAAAAAACACTAGTTTGAAACATGGCTTTCGTGATCTACTTGTTCCTGTAGTTTATTATAGATCTGTGAAAACCGCTTTGAAATTAAACAAAAAAAAAACTCCGTGATTTTAGTCCGCAAGTGAACCGAGCGACCGCCGCTTGTCGGCGAAGTTCAGTGCCAACTTGAAATTGAAATTAAACAGGAGGGGTTAGTTTCTTTTTTATCTTAATCCTTCAGCTCATTTCTTGAACTCCTTTATTATTTTAATATCTATGTCCCCCCCACGGCGTTTATGTTTTATGTTATGTCGTTTATACCCTCCCTCCCAATCTTCGCTGCATAACCTGTGGAGTTGAGGAAGTGCAGCTGAATAACAAACTTCGATTCTGTTTACAGGTCCCATTGCAGAAGTGATGGCGGTGGTGAAGGGAACAGCGCGCCTACCATGTGACATTGTTCCTCCTGTATCTAACGACTCAGTGTTCCTTGTCATCTGGTACAAAAACGACATTACTCCCATCTACAGGTAAGCCAAGTTCAAATAACTATTTTAAGAGTACTGTTTTCAATTTGTGTATGTTATAATGGACCATATAGAACACAGTTTCTGCTTAGGATTTACAGAAGCTTAAAGTCTGAAATGTTCTAATTCTGTCTGATATTGAGTATCATCTGTGGAAGTCTGTCAACTTACTTTAGATTCTCTACTTAGTCGGATATTAATTAAGCAAGCCTGAAGTTGTGGTGGCCAATCACAGTGAACGTGCCGTATAAGACATGAACCGTCTTCCCTCACTCGAACACTGGGATCGTGGGTACGAAGCCCACTCAAGGCACTAAGGCAAGGATGTCTCTGTGTGTATTTATTCTGTTTGTGTTGTTCTGTGTGTAGGTAGAGGGCTTGCGACGGTCTGATCACTCTTCCAAGGAGTCCTACTGACTGTGTATAGGATTAAAAAACTGAAAAAGCGGCCAAGGTCCAACAAAGGGTTGTAGAGCCATAATAATAAAAATAATAATAATAATAATAATAATAATAATAAATTTGTTGTATTTTGAAGTAAAAACGATCTGGAATGCAGTCAAATCATATCTTTACTGGAGTAAAATAATAACAGAAATTTCACCGTTCATTTTCCTTGCGTCTAGACCAATGTCTGTAGGTTCATGTACATAAAGCAACCCTCACTAGCATCGACATTCTTCCTGTCTATAGACACACATTCGGAGCATTAAACAGATTTTACTCTGAATTAAGAGAAGATTGATACAATTCCAGTTCTGCTTAAACAATTGACGATGGAGTTATGGTAGTTCTGCCAGTGAAGTTCTAACTGCAGGTTGTGCTCACGAATCTGTATTTCCGCCAGGAATGTTAGGGATCTTACTCCCAGCACTGAGTACAGAAAGTTTCTAAGACGCGGTCTATAATTCGCCAATTTCTTTGAAGCTAAAATATGTGAGAGGTGGGGCTGGAACCCATATCTAATATGTGTTTTATTTAATACCGTAATATATATGCTTTGAAGTCTTAATTTGATCCTAACATTTGACATGCTTCATTCATTCATTCGTTCATTCATAAATGGCTCTACAGCCCTTTTATTGCGCCCTAGCGTCTTCTTCATTTTCGTAATCCTTTTTTCATAGACGGTAGGACTCCTCGGACGAGTGATAAGCCCATCGCAAAGCCGCTACCTACACACAGGACAACACAAACATAATAAACACACACAGAGACATCCTTGATTTAGTGGGATTCGAACACACGGTCCCAGCATTCGAGCAAGCGAATACAGTTCATGACTTAGACCGCGCGGCCACCGTGATCGGCTTTTGGACTGCTTCAGGGGAAAAATTGTCGAGAATTAATCACAAATGAAGAACATTTTTGGCGCTTAAATACGGAAGATTTATTTATACATATTTAACAGTACATTCGAAGGCTCCTGCATACATACGACAACTATAAACGTAAAATAGATTTGTTTTCCTTTATTGAGCCATCTGTTCTGGAAGAGGTTGGTAATTTCGTTAAAAGGCGACATAGCTTCTTAAATTAACCCGGTTACTGAAAAGATTTTTATATCTTATAGAAATTGTGTAGAAACTTCACTTTGAAAAATGAATTGATGGTTTAGATACGTATTTTGTTCATTCTTGAATTTACTATACACTTCGGATGATATTTGTAGATATGTTTTAAATACGATTATGGCAAACGTTCTTTGCGAAATGACTTGTTGCATAAAATCTGAGGGCTACGTTTCAGCTTCTCTGTGTTCCTGTACAGCCTGTGTGAAACGTTGCAAGAAAGCGCTTTAGAGGATTTTCTGAATGACCGCCTCTGTGGTCTAGTGGTCAGAGTTCCTGGTTACAGATCCAGAGGCTCCGGGTTCGATTCCAGCGCTACCAGATTTTCTCAGAAGTAGTGGGCCTGAAACGGGGTCCACTCAGCTAAAATATCGAGATTAACAGCCTTGAGGATCCGTTGCGCTGACCACGCGACACCCTCTATCGGCTAAAGTTGGCACTAATTTCGCCAACAAGCGGCGGTCGCTCGGTCGGTATAGTTCTCTTGCGGACTACATGCCACGGAGTTTTTTATTAATGTGATGCAACGTTCTGACTTAATGTAATGGTTACGAACATGCAGTCGAATTTCAAGTGCTACAATTCTACAGTACAATTGATTATTCAGTATTTCGATGGCTGAAACAATGAAAGATCTCCATGAATTTCGAACATGAATGAAGACGCATGATCCAATGTCCATAGGGAGGAGATATTACAAGTTACGTATTGCTTTTTACTGAGGTGCCAGAGAGCTGGGCTATTGACCTGTTCTGACCGAGTGAAGTTAAATCCGTTGGCTTTCAGGGAACTGGAATTCTTAAGCCAGTTTCTAAATTTCGTGACTGGAGTAAACAGTAGAAACGGATCAATCTCAGAGTGAGATCTTAACTCTGATACGAAGTAACCTTCTTCTTATCCCATCCACGGATTAGATTCACGCCTGATACAACTTCGTATCGAACTACTGAATGATCTTCTGATGCCTGTACACCCTTTCAGTTTCTGATGAAGAGAAGGTCCTTTTTTTCAGAGTTCTTTGTTGTCTGTTCTTAAAAATGAGTTAACGATTTTCCTTTGTGTTCTTCTGTTCGTTCATATACAGATTGTGTTTTGACTTCTTATGTCTGAATATTTGGCTGTGTCTAACCTAAAACATCTGAGAAATATCAATTCCGTTGAAAAGATGTTACTACAATTTTCTTAATCTTGACCAAAGTTTCGCCTTTTTATAAAATTGCGATCAATATCATTATATTTAAAAATGGAAACTTGGTTCTTATCATCACTTTTTATAATATTGGATTTATATTCGTAAATACACCTTGAGTCGGCGCGCGGTAGCGTAGTTGGTTGAGGCACTGTGCTACAAGCCGGAAGGTAACGACATCGAATCCCGATGAGGTGATTTTTTCAATTGACTTAATCCTTCCAGCCGCACTATGGCCCTGCGGTCGACTCAGCCTCTAACAGAAATGAAGACCAGGAATATTCTTGGAATATTCTTGGCGCGTAAGACTGACAATCTCACCTCCATCTGTGAGCCGATTGTCTAGAAAACGTGGGCGCCTCAACATCTCAAAACCCCATGGGCCTCTACGGCCTGTTACAGGGAAACCTTTACTTACTTTTACTTTTAAATACACCTTGAATTTCATGCATTTTATTTTCTACCAACCACAAAAGAACACCCACAGGAAATTAATAGCCTTGTCCACTTTGAGACATCAACTGCGAACAATGAGTTGAGTGATTTGACACCCCTCTGGACGAGCACATAGAACTGGCAGGGACACAAGTCTTGGTTTTCTTGGTGTCATTTCATTGTGGCTCCCTCCCTGACCCTCCCTCTGTCATCGCTAAGTGGATTAGAAACGGACCTGGTATGACGTGAAGATGGAAGACAGAACTTCGGAGGAAGTTGTATTGGAGTCACAGGAACTCATCTCTCCTACACGAACACTACACAAAAAAGTCCTCCACTTCTTATCAGTTTTTTCTTTTGTTCTTATCTATATTTTTCATGCTGTGAGTTATGAAAAGAAGATATTTTCTTTTTTATCGTGAATGACACTAATGCCTTCACTGAAGCGTTTCTTGAACTTCATAAACTGCTTCCAATCCAACCCATCACTAGAAATCATTTGTCGATTGGTGGCTTACCGTTTCATTATTTATGGTAAGTTAAGCTCCTTTATGATGATGTCAGTTTCGAGTCTATATATAGCGTCGATAATAGGTGATTAATGGAATGGATTAGTTAATAAAATGAGAAATGACAGGAGGAAGCGAAGTATTCGAAAAAAATCTGCCCTACTCTCAAATTGCCCACCATAAATCCTTCGTACTTTCATAGCTGAATACGAAATCTGTATCATACTGAAAATACAAACATTTCCTGGGGTTTTCACGTTCGAAAATAGTGAAATTATTAGCTGACGTTTTCCAATATGTTTAAATAGATGTTACCCATTCATTGAATATTCTGTAGACGTTCTGTTACTTTCAGTGTTAATGGTTGTGGCTTATCCAGATTTCATTTAACCCCATAACATTACGTTAATTTACTGAAGATTTGTTGTAAGAGACACATCACATGATTTAAATATGTTCTCTTATGAAAGTTGCGCTATTATTTCGGACTTCGCTGCCCGAAACGGTATTTGTGTGAGAAAGGGGAATGTTTGGTGTCACAGCGTTGGTCATGAAGAGCTCTCTCTGCTGGCATTTAAGCCGTGTATTCCGTTGAATGTCAACCAACGTTTCGGAGGAGCATATCGCTTCCATCTTCAGAATCGAAGAATAAGCGAAACAAGCAACCAGTATGAAGCAGGTATCAAGCAGAAACTTTCGTGTCTAGGACATGAATGCATGACTTAGGACACGGAACTAGTCACAATAAATATTGGAACAATGAGGAACTCAGTTCTAGTCTCAACTTCTGTTTATTGTTGATGAACAGACATACGTCTCTCCACAGAGCTGCTGCTCTTAAATCATATAGTGTGTTAATCAGCTTCGTTGAAGGGCTGATTTTAAACTTGCCTTTTAGCTACAGATATCTTTAAAATCTGATACTTAACTATCAGTAACTATTTCATATTGCAGTCGAAAAAATTCTGTAGGACAAGCGTCTCTAGGCATCGCGTCTTTTCTAGTGTAGCGGGTTTTAGATCTCCCTAACGCTTGGGTCCATGCGACGCTCCCTAGTTGCTGGGTTGGAAAGAAAGCGGATATGGATGTTTACGCTTGAAATTGCAGACGTTTTATCCAGTGGAAAAAGAAGAGAGTTCTTCCACCTCTATCCTCTTCTTCTTCTTCCTTTCTGTTAGAGACGTGAGTAGTTCATAGGCTGCTTTCCTTTAGGCTGTCATGAATTCTGACATGCATGTGACACAGCAGCGCTAAGAGCTGCAGCGTACAAAATCTGTACCTTGGACGCATGCGAAATCT